GTCTTGAATTGAGTATTGAATTGGTGAGCCAATTATGAGGGGAACTTATGTTCTAACGTGTGTTTAAACAAGGCCGTTAGTGCGTGTTTACATACAGTGTCGGAGAGAAGGCCATTAGAGCATCTTGAAGTCACAATGTCTAGGAGAAGGCCGATAGTGCGTTTGTTAGATACACCTATCTTGGATAAACGAAGGCCCTAGTGCGCGTTTATTCACAACCCACGTATAGATAACAACACGATCTGTCATCATTGGTGCTTTCATTGAGAGGGTTTCATTGAGAGGTGCTGATCGTGTCTTTATCTATCTATCTTTTTTTTTTTCGGTTTGCCTTTTGCTGAGGGGCCGAATTTCTTTTCTTTTCTTTTTTGGTCGAAATTTTCGAATTTCTATTCGAATTTTTCAATTTTTTTCGTGAGTCTAAAAAAAAAAGTCATCTAGTCCTTTGTTTGATTTTTGTTTCTGTTATTACCTTTTGTTGAGGGGCCGAATTTCTCTTTGTTTTTTGAATTATTTTTTTTTGAAATTTTTGTTCGAATTTTTAGAGTAAAAAAAAAATGTCTTACCCACCATTGGATGAGTGGGATTGGGAGGATCTCGAATACCTCGAAAGTTTGGAGAGGGAATTAACCCCTTGGGAGCAAGAATACTTGGAGGAGATGTACGAGCAAAAGGAGGAGTATGAAAGACAACTCATGATCAAGGAGGGATTCGTCAACCAAGAGCCCATATTGGCGTTAGATCTACCAAGCTATAGTGAAGACAAGGTCACCAAACATGATTTCGACCAAGTCGAGTACAAAGAACCTTCGTTCGCCCACGAATTCACGGATGAGGATGAAAAGGAGGCGATGGGCGATGTCAAGGAGGAAGTCCTGGTCATGATCGAAGGGCAGGATAAGACCGAGCTAGTTGAGGTAATCGATGTCGCAAGCGAGATCATGGTCGAAGAGGGTCGCGACGCGACGCACAAGGAGGACAACACGGATGAAGAGATGTACGAAGTCGAGTTCTTGGACGAGGTCGACGAGGACCGTGAGTGGGACGTGCATGAGATCGAAGAAGATGTGCCCGATGTTTGGATGGTCGAGGATGAATCCTTGAGGACAAGGAAAGTCTCGAAGAGGAGGGGAATGATATGGAAGTGGGTTCCGGACCCCTGTGACAAGAAGGGCCAAGAGCCAAGAGGACTTGAGGAGGCTGAAAATAGGGCCAAAACGATGCAAGCATGGCCTAAAAGACGGGTACGAGCGCGTATGCGGACGGGCTTGGATCGACAAGTGCATGGACGTGATGCACAAGTGCACGAAGCGGTTAATGAGGGTCGCGCATAGAGGTGCGCGAGAGCACGCAAGAAGATGGTCTTAAGGCTAGCAATGCTCACACGAAAGAAAGGGTGCATTCAAGAAGGGCGCAAACACGCGCATTGGCGTAGACGAGCATGGATGAGGCCACGACTCAAAGGACGTGCCATCGATGGTTTCGGGATGCTTATCGAACATATGAAACCTGGTGGGGGTGGCTAAAATACCAGGTGGCCCAAAGGAATGGAAGGCATGCTAGTCGGGTGCCCAACGGGCACTATGCACGCACATGGGCGCGCAGCACGCGCGCAGGTGGCCAGTGGTGCACGGGGCCACGCGCAGACGGATGCACGCACAGGCAGGCCGCGAGTAGTTCGGGCGCGCGCAGGTACGCGCGCGCGCGCTGATACGGAAGTGGTTATTAACCCCGGTGAGTCCGACGATGATGATGGCGATAATCTAGATATTTGGCTAGAAAATATGTTGGAGGAGCCATCTAGTCCTATTTATCGGCCATCATGTGTACGAGATTGGCCAAAAGGATGTGGTCCACGAGCTAAACTCAAGCCTAGGAGACGCAAGACCAAGAGAACTCGAAGGAAAGGCAAGGCAAAGGCTACAGAAGAGAAGTTTTGGTACAAGCCTTGTGCGAGAAAAAGACGAGTTCGCAAGACGGAGGCTCGAAGGGGAGGTAAGAGTAGAATGGAGGATGGTTGGATTTGGCGAGCTGGTGATTGTATTGGGTTGGATGGATGGGACCCATGGCCATCGGGCGAGCAGCCGGAGTCGGTTGGCGACGAGGGTGCGAGCACGAGCAAGGAACGCGCATCGTGCCTTGATGCGCGCATAAGGTCGGAGGATCAGGCAACGGAGGTTGATTGGGATGCGTTAGCATTTGGCAGCAAAGAGACGGGGTGCACGGGTTGCGCAAAGGCAGCGCACGCGTACGAGGAAGCCGGCGGTGGCGCGGGGCTCGCAGGCAGTAGCGGTTGGACGAACGCGGGCGAGGAAGTCGGCAAGACCGCGGGGCGCTATGGTGATGGCGAGATGGCTGGCGTGCGCAGTACTCGCGGGGGTGACGTGGACGCGCGCGGGGAGGCCAGCAGGGGCGCGAAGCGCGCGAAGGCACGCGAGTGCGCGACAGATGCGCGAAGCCTAAGGCGTGAGGACATAGGACTGGCAGGCGCGGACGCGCGCAAGAAGGTCGGCGATAGCGAGGCGCACGCGATAGCGCGCGAGTGCAGCGAAGACGCGGGCGCATGCCTATGCGCGATAGGCATAGGCGAGAGGGGCACGCACGCGTGGGGTGCAGGCAGCGAAAGCGAGGCGCGCGATTGGCAGTCAGACGCGAGAGACCTAGTCCGCACGGGACTAAGCGAGGCACTGGGCGCACACGCGCAAGAGGAGGGCGGTGCAGGTGAGGCGTGCGCGGAGGACGCGTGCGACGCGGACAAGTGAGGCGGCCGAGAGTTTTGAACATGTGGAAGATTAGGGAGTATTCTAGAATTGCTTGGTGTGCAAGCCAAGCATTAGTTATTTGGTAGGTTTAGGATTTTATTGCTTTCTAGTATTAGGATTTCTATTCTTGCAAGATTTAGGAGATCTAGTATAGTTAGGCTTAGATTTATTTTGCAACTATAAATACCCCATGTACCTCATCATATTATATGTCTGGAATGAAGTATTGAATTGGTGAGCCAATCTTGAAGGGGAACTGATGTTCTTAACGTGTGTTTAAACAAGGCCGTAAGTGCATGTTTATATACAGTGTCAGAGAGAAGGCCATTAGAGCGTCTTGAAGTCACGGTATCTAGGAGAAGGCCGTAGTGCGTCTGTTAGATACACCTATCGTGGATAAACGAAGGCCCTGAGTGCGCCGTTTGTTCACAACCGTATAGAGTAAGGACACGATCCGTCATCATTGGTGCTTTCATTGAGATGTGCTGATCGTGTTCTTTATCTATCTATCTTTTTTCTTTTTTTTTTCGGTTTGCCTTCTGCTGAGGGGCCGAATTTCTCTTTATTTTTTGTTGGGGTTCGAACTTTTTGGTTCGAATTTTCCCTTTTATTTTTCGAATTTTTAGAGTCTTAAAAAAAAAGTGTCATCTTGTTAGTCCTTTGTTTGATTTCTGTTCGGTTATTACCTTTTGTTGAGGGGCCGAATTTCTTTTTGTTTCAATTTTTTGAGTCTTGTTGGGGGTTCGATTTTTCGAATTTTTCCCTATTATTTTTGAATTTTTTTAGAGTAAAAAAAAAATGTCTTACCCACCATTGGATGAGTTGGATTGGGAAGATCTTGAAATGTTGGAAGGTTTGGAAAGAGAGCTTACACCATGGGAAGCAACATATCTTGATGAGCTTCATGAGCGAAGGAATATTGAGGAGTACGAACGTCAACTCATGGAAGCCCGAGAAGCAATAGTGATCGATGCTCATGACCACGAAGATGAAGGTGCGCTGAATTTTCTGTTCCTTGAGGACAAGGAAAGTCTCGAAGAGGAGGGGAATGTTACGGAAGTGGTTATTAACCCCGGTGAGTCCGACGATGATGATGGTGATAATCTAGATATTTGGCTAGAAAATATGTTGGAGGAGACATCTAGTCCTATTTACCGGCCATCATGTGTACGAGATTGGCCAAAAGGATGTGGTCCACGAGCTAAACTCAAGCCTAGGAGACGCAAGACCAAGAGAACTCGAAGGAAAGGCAAGGCAAAGGCTAAAGAAGAGAAGTGTTGGTGCAAGCCTTGTGCGAGAAAAAGGCGAGTTCGCAAGATGGAGGCTCGAAGGGGAGGTAAGAGTAGAATGGAGGATGGTTGGATTTGGCAAGCTGGTGATTGTATTGGGTTAGATGGATGGGACCCATGGCCATCGGGCGAGCAGCCGGAGTCGGTTGGCAACGAAGGTGCGAGCACGAGCAAGGAACACGCATCGTGCCTTGATGCGCTCATAAGGTCGGAGGATCAGGCCACGGAGGTTGATTGGGATGCGTTAGCGTTTGGCGGCAAAGAGACGGGGTGCACGGGTTGCGCAAAGGTAGCGCACGCGTATGAGGAAGCCAGCGGTGGCGCGGGGCTCGCGGGCAGTAGCGGGTGGACGAACGCGGGCGAGGAAGAAGTCGGCAAGACCACGGGGCACGATGGTGATGGCGAGATGGCTGGCGTGCGCAGTACTCGCGGGGGTGACGAGGACGCGCGCGGGGAGGCCAGCAGGGGCGCGAAGCGCGCGAAGGCGTGCGAGTGCGCGACAGATGCGCGAAGCCTAAGCCGTGAGGACATAGGACTGGCGGGCGCGGACGCGCGCAGGAAGGTCAGCGATAGCGAGGCGCGCGCGATAGCGCGCGAGTGCAGCGAAGACGCGGGCGCATGCCTATGCGCAATAGGCATAGGCGAGAGGGGCACGCACGCGCGGGGTGCAGGCAGCGAAAGCGAGGCGCGCAGAATGGCGCGCGATTGGCAGTCAGACGCGAGAGACCTAGTCCGCACGGGACTAGGCGAGGCACTGGGCACACGCGCGCAAGAGGAGGGCGGCGCAGGTGAGGCGTGCGGGATAGCGCGCGCGTGCGCGGAGGACGCGTGCAACGCGGACATGTGAGGCGGCCGAGAGTTTTGAACATGTGGAAGATTAGGGAGCATTCTAGAATTGCTTGGTGTGCAAGCCAAGCATTAGTTATTTGGTAGGTTTAGGATTTTATTGCTTTCTAGTATTAGGATTTCTATTCTTGCAAGATTTAGGAGATCTAGTATAGTTAGGCTTAGATTTATTTTGCAACTATAAATACTCCATGTACCTCATCATATTACATGTCTGGAATGAAGTATTGAATTGGTGAGCCAATCTTGAGGGGGAACTGATGTTCTTAACGTGTGTTTAAACAAGGCCGTTAGTGCATGTTTACATACAGTGTCGGAGAGGCCATTAGAGCGTCTTGAAGTCACGGTATCTAGGAGAAGGCCGTAGTGCATCTGTTAGATACACCTATCGTGGATAAACGAAGGCCCTGAGTGCGCCGTTTGTTCACAACCATATAGAGTAAGGACACGATCCGTCATCACGCGCGCAACACGCGCGCAGGGGCTGGCGCAGGTAGGCGCGACACAGCAGACAGCGCGCGCAGGCACGCGCGCAGGGACGGG